AAAAAAAAAAAAAAACTAATTAACGCATTTCCTTGGATTTAGTTCACCCTCAGCAGGAAATTAGGTGGACACAGAAATAGAAATGATTATGTTATCTTTTGCCCTTTCCATTGTAAGTAAAATTTGAATTTTATTTATTTCATATTGATCACCGGCACATTGTGTTCTTTATCTAATATATAACAGGTCTGCAATACTTTTGTTTGACTTTTTAAAACTCAAATCATTTATGTCTCCAATATAAATGCTAGTCCAATTTTAATGGGCTGTTTATAAACCATGCTTCATCTACCTTTGGTACATCAACATATTCTAGCAGCAAGTACAGTGTGAATGGCAAAAGTCACGTATTTGTCTGCCATATAATGATCAAGCCCCTGTTCAATGTTCTGTGCGCATTTTCTGGCTTGTTGTCCTATTCTGTTTTCTTAGGAATATTTCTTCTGTCTTCTCTTTCCCCAATAACACTTTCATCCAATAACTGCTGTAATTTTAGTATTATGTTTTTCGATATCTTCACAGATCTACTGAACTGGTTTATTGTTAGAACATTAAGATGCATAAATTTAATCTTTTAAAAGTTTCTTAAAGCTGCAGCATTTTAAAACTTCGTCTTTGCTATGATATCTAAAATAGGACTGTTTGATTATACCAAAGTCAAAGGACAGCCAACACAGTGGATTGGGTTAGTTCTATTTGTAACAGTAATTCCCTATCTCACATTTATGATTCAGAATAATCAAATTGATCCTTAGAGTATAAAGCAAGAGAAAAACTGCACAATCAAATCAATGTATATAACACTGATGATATGCTCTGTTTAGCCATAAGCAAAATTTCTTTTAATCCTAAACTGAAATTGCTTTCACTTAAACTTTGAACAAATGATATCATAAGCGATGGCGCTAAATAATGAGACTTATGACCAGTCCTCAAAGTTGAAGCTGTCACAGCATCCCTGAGGTCATGTGATCGTGATTTGGGTGCTTGGCAACCAGCGTGCATTTATGACAGTTGCAGCACCATGCAGTCATATGATCACAATTTGTGACCTTCACAGCCAGCTTCCAACAAGCAAAGTCAATGGGGAAACTGGCAGGAAGCCGCAAGTTGCAGTCACGTGACATCAATCTTAACAATTCGCAGTGATTCACTTAATGACCACAGCCAGAACTGACAAACTGCCATTGTAAGTTGGACACAGTGACATGATTTTTCACTTTACAACTGCATCACTTAGCAACAGAGTTGACAGTCCCAATTGCGGTTGGTAAGTGAGGACTACCTGTACTTCTATACCACATAATCAATGAAGTCTCAAATCTCTGCAAATGCATTTACATGACATGCTAAGCCATCTGAATAAGATACATGGTTACACTGTGATTAAAGCAACGTCTTACAGGTAGTCCTCACTTAACAATGGTACTTGGGATTGGAATTTCCATCACTAAGTGATATAGTCATAAAGCGCAATGTCATGTGACAGCATCGCTTAGCGATGGCAATACCAGCAGTCCCAGTCACAACAATCCTTTCGTTAGGTGGCTCGCAAGCAGGCCAGTGGATAGATGAGTGCTACAGAGTGTGGATGGGCAAGGGGGGTGGGTGCTGCAGTGTGGCATGAGTGCAGGCGGGCAAGCAGGGGGTCAGTGCTGCGGCCTGGCATGAGTGCAGCTCAGCAGGAGTGAGCACTATATAGTGCAGGTGGCCACACAGGTGGGTACGAGTGTGGGTGGGGGGTGGGTGCTGCAGTGCAGTGTGATTGGGGGGTGGGGCTATGGCCGATCATGAGCTCAACCAGATGGGCAGGGGGTCAGTGCTGTAACCCAGCATGACCACAGCCAGGTGAGCATGTGCTATGGAGTGCAGGCAGGAGGGTGCTGTGGGCAGGCACTAAGGAGTATGAGTTCCCTGGGAAAAAAAGCAGAGGACGTGGGAGTGACTTATGGGAGCGACTTGCAGCCTTCCCTGCCAGCTTTCCTATTGACTTTCCTTTTGGGAAGCGGGCAGAGAAGGTCGCAAGTGGTGATCATGTGACCACGGGATACTACAACTGTCATAAGTGCAAGCCAGCTGCCAAGCACCCGAATCCCAATCATGTAACCGTGGGGGTGCTGCGATGGCCAGAACTTTGAGAACTGGTTGTAAGTACCATTCGTTCAGCACCATCATAACTTTGAACAGTCACTGAATGAGTGGTCGTAACCCAAGGACTACCTGTATCTACAATCTATAGTTATGGATTATTCTTGGCTTACCTGGACTGGTAGTAATTTTCCATGCTGTCCAAACATGGACTAATGGCTAGTTCAGAGTTAAGGAGCCATTCGTTTGCATGGTAACTGAAGCAGTCCAGGACTAGCTGCAAAGTGAAACCACTCCTGCAGCAATGGCTCTGTTGCTCCAGTGCAGTTAGCCTAAACACAAAAACATTTTGATGCTTGGAAGAGCAGCCGCGAGAGGCCTTTAACTGTATGTTCTCTTGACTGTGGCCCATATGTAAAATAAACACATACACACAACACACATATTAAAAACACACACTACTGTAAAGCAAATTTTACTTTCCCTAGAAACATAAACTTTTAATATTCTCTTGCTGGAATCTAAATCCTAAAATACTATTGCATGGTAATAATGCTAATAACATTCACTACAACAACAAACTTGATTATTTAGAAAAGCAATTACTTACAGATCTGTCAAATTCAGATGGCGGAAAGTCTTTCTGGACAAACTTGAAAGTTTATTTCTAGAGAAGTTACTGTAAAGAAACAGTGTAATAATTAAAATGAGGACTATTGGAAACAAAAGAGTCTTGAGATCTATGTCCCAGGAAGTTAAATTCTGTCAAACAACTCTTGCTAATGATCTCCAAAACTGATACAGATCGTATCCTAGTTTGACATCTAGACTCGGCACAGATAAACACTGATTGCAACATGTATCTTAGAACAGTTCAGTTCATGTAAAGGAAAAACACAGGATTAAGTTTTACTCCAAAGATGTTCTCAGATGTTGACTAAACGCTCAATTTATTCATAAGCAAAATAGATGTTTACCATATCTTCTTTGATCCTACATCAAAGCCTGTACTTACCCAAACCCTGACCATATCCCAAACAACTCCATCATAAGCCTTTTAAACATACTTTTTTAAACTATGTGTTCACAGGAAACATCATGGAAAAATGGTAACATGAATTCATTAGGCCTTTCAGTTCAATTAAGTATTTATTGCTTCATACTGCAATGTACTTTATCATCTTCTACTACAATGAAAATCAGATGCATTCTTGCTCTCAACTATATTCACATGATCGCCTACACTGTGGGAGGCATTCCTTCACTAAGGAATATTTAAACTGGGCAAAATATAAAATTTGCAAACCAGCACCACCTTTCTTTTTTTCATAGGAGATATGTTCCCACTGAATAGGATATAGGCTTCCTGCCACAACAGAACTCAGAAATGTTGCCAACTAGTGCTTGTCTGAATTTTTCCAAACCAGATCTGGTAACCCTAGTATACAACAGTTTCCAGTGTTCTGGTTTAGATCATGGGCTCCTTTTTCTGACCAATCATGTGAAGCTGTCAAATTAATGAAAAGGTGGCATGATAAAAAAAAAAAATCCAAAAAAAAAAAAACTTTTTGTAAAGCAGACTAAGGAGATGTCAACAAAAAGTCCTGGTGATGCTTTCCCCTTATGAGACCATGGGCCAATTTATATATAAGTAACAAAAGTAGTAGAAGATATCCTTTATTTTGTCTTTATAATAGATATGCACTGATCTTTTGTGAAAATATACAAAAGATTTTCAGATTTTCCCCATTGGAATGTTGTCCTGATACTATTGCTTACATTTAAGTAGTGTCTATGGAATGTTTAATTTCCTTTGTTTACATATTACTGATTTTTTTTTAATCATACATTAGCTAAAGACAGCCATTTTGGTTGCATAAATTTCACCTGGGGAAAAGGGGGGAAAAAGGCAAATAAGTTTATAAAAATGCTTCATTTAAGGTTCTTTAGCTTTTGATATTGCTGAAGTTGGTGGATATGTCTATGCTAGTTTTGATATTTTTGTATTATTTATATTGTAGTATATCCATTTTAAAGAGGATTTTAAATGGAATTAAAGAGCTCTCCTGTGAGTCAATTAAAGCCAAAATGGGGGGGGGGGGTTAACTTGGAAGTTCATATAATTTATGTCTATAAAACAAAAGAATTTTCTAAACCACAAATGTGCCAAATTCATGTAAGAGAAGACAAAGGGAAATTGTTTATGTACATTGTCACTATAATAATGTAAATTTCCCCATATCCCAACAAAGCAAATTTAAAAACAAAACAAAACACAATGCTGCTCCCTATGAAAATACTCTTTATGAGATTTGGAATGTAGAATACACACAGCTATCAATATCCTCTTCAATAGCCAATGGAGTAGCTCCTTTCCCCATACAGTACACTATCACAACAATCTTGGACAGCAGATAGTCAAAACAACACTTCTCCCATCCTCTGCTTTCCTCCCAGGTCATCCAATATCCTCCTTTTTTCTAATGGATGAGATATTTCCATAGAAGTGAATTTTGCAAGTGATTCAGCACAATACAGATAATTGCTTACTAGCTATTTGTCCTTAAAGTTAGAAGTCAGAAATTCACTTATCTAAGATCTTTAGCCCTTGCTATATCTGGCGGTGGGAATTACTTAAAGAGCAAAATCAGTAAATCACATCTTTATTTAAAACAACATTCCAATATGTATCCAAAAATAGCTGGATATTTTCCAGTTATCATTCCTTCTAATACTAAACTTGGACAGTCCACTGCCATCTGTTTGGCAGTAAATTGTCTAACCATTTTGCTGAAAATGTCATTTGAACAACAGAAAGGGAAAATGAGCGTGCACTGATTGGCTGGCATATGCAGCTCTAACAATTTATAATACTCTCAAAAGGGAGGAGGAACTCAGGTCAGGAGACAGATACATAATTAGCAAGAAGAGCGTTGCTGGATTAGTTCAAAGGGTTTTCTAGTCCAACTTAATGTTCCTACTGCGATCAGTCAGATGTCCATATGAAGACATGAGCTTCTGGGCTTCCCATACTTCCTCCAGCTTGCATTCCCCAACAACTAATATTAGGTCATGCCCAGCAACACTGCAACAGACACAATACTTTTGTAACTGAGTGTGTATGATATATATAGGGGGTGTGTGTGTGCATATACTGTACTACTGTATACTGTATATATGTATAGTCATATATAAACTGATTAGCAACCACTGATAACCAAGAAGTTTAAAAACATCCTTCCCACCTAATATAGGGGAAAGATCATATTTTTATTTTTCCAGACACTTTTTGCTTTGGTATATAGTGATATATTCAACAACAGTGGTAACCAGTTGCAAATATGAGTCCATCAACATAGGATAGAAGATAACATTTTGTTGTAAGTCCCCGCTGGTAATTGTTAAACAATTCTGCTTGTTCTAAAGCCATAAAGTGGATTTTCACTTACATGTACTGCAGGTTAATATTTTTCAGGAAAGCTTGGCGTGAGACAAACTTCAAGCCTGAGTCCACCACAGTTCTATAAAAGTACACAAGCATAAGTTACAATTACTGAGTGATCTGTTGTCCATTCATTTATTCATGGAGAGTACAGCATGTAGCTCAAGGAATTTCAGAATAAATCTTGGTTCAGGAATAATTATTATATTGCCCCAATTCAGCAATCTGTGGTGCATGTGAGAAAATTCTCTATTCACTACAATGAGTAAGGCAACTTCATGAAAATACAGAGTTGCTTCTTTTAAATGAAATAAATGAAGACAACGGCCCATGGAAGACCTCAGTATATTCTATTATAGAGCTTACACAAAGGGGGCAAAATATGTAGTTTATAATAATAAATGTACATAATTAAACTATATACTTACAAATTTCTTAATCCAATGTACAGTCCAACATCTATTTCATTTATGCTTTCTAAATCCCGCTGGTTTGCAATATAACTGTTTAAAAGGACAAAAAAAAAAAAAAGAGGGAGAGAGTAATGTTACTGTGGTACCATATTATTTTCTTATTTATATTTATATAATAGGTATGCAGATAGCATTTGTCTGGCTTGGAAGTGGGAAAATGGAAAAATAAATCATTCCTCCATTACAATATAATACAGCAGGACAGACTTGCAGAAACATATTAAGCACCATAATATGTTAAGAAGTCCTTTGCAAGATGAGAGCAGTGTTTCTTAAACTGGGGGTAATAACCCCCAAGGAGTTAATTTGGGTATATCCTGGGGGTAATGGAGCAATTTGTAATAGATTGCTTGTGAGTCAAGGATCCAGTTTGGGACTGCCACTGTGGAGAAGTTTATGTAAAACAACAAGGAGTCTGGGTTTTGTGTGTATGTGTGTGAGAGAGAGAGTGAGAGAGTAAGAGAGAATGAGAGAGAGAAATGGGATTATTCAAGACTGGGAAAAGGAGTAATTGGGTCAAATAGTTTAAGAGCCACTATATTAGAATCTCAGTAGTCCAGTTCTGGCATATTATACCATAACAGCTTTCAGCCACTGCTCTCTTGAGTCTTTTTTTTTTCTGTTAAACAAAACAAATAACTAGCAAATAATAATATAACTATTAAATTCTGTATACTATATGATAGCAGACATGGAAAAGAAATTTGTTTGGTTCTCATTCTGATACAAGGTTTCTTAATTTGCATATGCCAAACCAATACATGAATAAAAAATACAGTTATTCAGTTTGTTGTTCTGAACTTTTCACAATGCCTCCTGCAATAAAAAGGAAATAAAAAATAAATAAAAAGAGAAAAAGTAAATAAAATAAAAAATAAAAAGTACAAGAAAATTCCTGAATAGAAGAAAACTATTACATTTTGTAAAACCACATTAAAAAAACTTAGGTAAGCAAAATTGCCCGCAAAAGTTTGGATAGAATTACACATAAAAATATGTATGCATTTTCATATGAAGTTTGCTTTTTAAAAATTGTAAATGCAGACACAGAATGAAAAGAACTCAGGGTTGGAAAAATGAGATATCAAAACTGACAGACTAATCCATCCATGAATAATAATGCACCGATAACATGCCCTAAGATTGTTAGGGAAAGCACATATACCATTGGAAGACCTGAAAAACCAGGTTAGGTATAGATTGTCATGGAGAAAATCTATCTATGTAGTCAGTAAGAGTCAATACAAACTTGATGACACATTAATAACATCAGTAAATCAATCAGTTATATTTATATATTTATATTTATCACTGAAAACAATAGCAAAAACCCTGAAAATTACAGTAATCAGGTCTTAATATAATAGGGGTAAAAGAAAAGATACTCTTCCAATAACTACACGGATACAATCAGGCAGTTTTCCTTGCAACAATATGGAAGCAAGATTGGGGATATTTTAAACTTATTGTCTAGCTTAAATAGTCCTTACAAACGTGGGTATACCAGGCTATCTCATTTGCTACTGAAGAAGTTGTAGCAATAGTTAGAACAGCATATGAAGCAACTAATTGGTTTAAAGTTGGGAAAGGATATGCCAAGGTTGTATGGTGTCACCTTGTTTACTTAATTTATATGCAGATATACCATGAGAAGTATTTAACTAAAAGAAATAGAAAGTGAAATTAAAATCAACAACCTCAGATATGCTGATTATACAATTTTCATGGCCAGAGTAAAGAAGATTCAAGGAAACTCGTGTTGAAAGCAAAAAAAGAGCCTGCAAGGGTCTGCTGCTTAGTATTAAAAATAAAAAAGGAAAGCTAAGATTACGTCAGTAGCAACACCAAGCCAATGCCAACAGACAGAGAAGTCAAAGCGATGGTAGACTTTATCTTTCTAGAACAAAAAAAAAATCACCAGACTGGTGACTATAGCCATGAAATAAACAGACCTTTACTACTTAGCAGAAAGTTTATGACAAGTCTGCACAAAATATTGAAGTGCAGAAACATAATATTGATACAAATATACATATTATCAAGGCTACGGCTTTTCCAGTTGAAACACATGGTTGTGAAAGCTGGCTCCTCAAAAAGGCTGAAGGAAGGAAAATCAATGTCTTTGAATTGTGGTACTGGGGAAAATTGTGGAGAAGACCTTGGACTGCAGCAAGAACAAAACATTCAATATTAGATGAAGGAAACCAGATTATTCATTGGAAGCTTCAGCTCAGTTATTTTGGACACATAATGTGAAGTCAAGAGTTACTGGAGAAGACCTTGATGCTTGGAAAAATCGAAAGCAATCAAAAAGGAAACTGACAGAAGATAAGATGGCTAGATACCATCACTGACATCATGAACAAGAGCTTCTTAGAACTCAAAGGAGCTGTTACTGACAGACTGACCTTGCCAAATGATATCCATCGGGACACAGAGAGTTGGAAGCAACTAAATGAACAACAAAATTGAATTGCCTGCCTCGCTTACACGACCAGATATTCAACATTTTTCTACTAGCTATGATTCTAGAATTTATTATTTATATATTGAAGTGTATTTAAACAAATCTACAATATTGTATTGGCATCTGATATTATATACAGCCCCCAAATCTACTGTATGACATACCTCAAATCCTATTTTATCTGATGCTTAAGAAGTTCAGGCATAAAGTAGGTTGGTGTATGTAAGTGGTCATTATCAGGTGCCATCTAAGTATCATGTACATCATGTAACAGTAAAACCCAGCAGGACATGAACAGGAAAGCAATAGAAAAATAATCAAAAATAAATCAGAAATTCCAAGAGAGGTTTATTCACAATGGTTTGCCCACAGTCTCACCCTGTGTGGTATCAAAATCAAATCTTTCAAAACCCTTAGTGCTCATTAAGGGGCACAGCAAAACTAATGAAATAATACTACAGATTATAGGATAAAATTCCTAGCACTCACTAGATCACGTGACTGCAAATCTCACACTGAACATTCAAGTATATTTACAAAAATACACAGAGAGAAAAAGAAAGAGAAAAGGAGTTTCTTCATCCAGAGTATTTTGTCCATTTGTTGCCAGCCTGTCTGAAATAAGTAAAGCACCGTGACTAAAATTCAGAGGGATGTGTTACTCTAGATGTATTCCAGATGCACTGTGCTAGTTGTTTTCAAAACAGTATTCCAAGAAACCTTGGTTTCCTTGGAAGCTTATCAACTGTACCCTGATCAAAAGATCAGCAATGGCATGATCTCTTCCATAAAAAACAATTTACAGTTTTGGATGATTTACCAATTCCAATGGGTATTTTGGAAGCTGCAGTCACAAAACATCTAGAACATGCCAGGTTGGGGAAAGTTATTTTAGGATTTATTTTTAGCTGATGCAGAGTGACAGGAAGGATTAACAGGTTTGGCCAGTGTTCCAGATGAACTGAATGTGCTCCAGTTTCTTCTAACATAGAGGGGTTCTGAGGACAGAGATTTCACAACAAATAAAATCACTGCAGAAGATGTTCCCTGAAGATGCACAGTTTCAAAATCAGTGACCTAGGCAATACATGTATGAACATAAGGACAATTCTGAATCAGTCCAGCATTTTGTTTCCCATAGTAGCCAACCAGTTGCCACTGGGTGCTCACAACCAGAACATGGAGATATATCCCTCTGCCACTGTTATTCCCTGGCAACTGGTATTTGAAGGCATGCCACACACCCCCACACCTGACCTAACTTTGACACTTCAATACTATTCAACCTTAATATACCTGACCTCCATGAATTTATCTAAGCCCTTTTTAATACCATCTCAGTAACTATCACCATGTATTATGGCAATTAATTCCACATGTTAATTATGCACCATGAAGATGATTTTCTTTTGTCAGTCCTAAACTTCTTTACAATTGTTTTACAGTGTCTGGTCCTAGTATGTCTGGTTGAGATAGAGAGAAAAACATCTCCCCCTCCATTTTATCCATGTCATGCATAATTTTATACACCTCAGTCATGCCCTCATCACCACCAAGCTAAGAACTCCAAATATTTTAGCCTTTTTTTCATAAGATGCTCAAGGCCCTGATCATTTCAGCTGCCCTCTTCTACATTTTTTCCAACTCTGTTATATTCTTTTTCAAATGTGGTGGGCAGAACAGTATACACTATGTTCACATACCATATATTTATATAAAGGCATCAGAGTATTATTTGTTTAATACCACCTTGTATTTTATAATCTAAATGGTTTATAATAAAATACCAAGTAAAATTCAACTTCATAAAACTATCAAGATAAAAATGAATTCAAATGTTATAAATTAATTTTAAAAATCAAGCATCAGCATGCATGACAGACTGTGGGAAGAAGCCTTTCAAAAAGACTCTGCCTTAATTAATTCACTGTAAGTCTGCCTGGGAATTTACTCTTACTGTTTATAAGATTATGTTTTTATCCCTGATTAGCATCAGATATGCCTTTCTGAAATCTGTATAGTACTCACTTTTCTGATTTGCCAGCTATTTGGAGCTTGACAGCACCTTGCCCATGAAGAAAATAAAACCCATCAAGCCAGTCTGAAAGCCTTCTGAAAAATTAATTTTCACTGCCTTCCTCAGAGTCAGAATGTAGGGGTAGTCCTCAAATCCAGAGGGAGACTATACCAAAGAGATGGAACATATTTTGTACGTCACCTAGAGTCTTTTTGGAGTTGGGTAGCCTTAACAAATCTAAAAAATAATAAAAAAACCGAGCAAATCTGCCTTAAGCACACACACACAC